TGAATTATCGGTTGATGTGTTGTTATTTGTGTTGTTGCTGTTGTTGTGAGAGGGGGGGGGGGTGGGTCGGGGGGGGGGGGGGGGGGGGGGGGTGGGTGGGCATATTATTGTTTATTTTTGAAGTGAACTAATAAATATGTTTGAATCTCTATTATAATTCTCTAAAGCAAATGGTATATAATATGTTATAATAGATGCATGTATAGAGATAAATTCACAAGAAAGTTGAATATTTTCGATTATTGAAAGTCTAAATATTACGACCATACTTTCCAGTTTTATAGAAAAGGAATAAAAATTTACAAAACTTTTTTTTCACATATAAATAGGTATTTACATAACAGAACGTTTTTTTAATAGTGAGGTTATAGTAGTCTCCTTTAAGATTGCGACTTTTAAAACACTATGCATAAATGAATGTGTTTGTAAATTATTTGTTAATCGTCAAGTTCGTTTGCATTTTCTTGTCACACATTTTTCTGATGTTGACCAATATAATGACGAAATTGTGCAAGTTCAAATCTTCAATGAAGTTTCTGAAATTCTACCTACAATAAATCACATTCATACTTTACACTAATATGAAATGAATCATATGTATTATACTTGATGACACACTGTACCACACATTTTGAAAACGTGACTCGAATCTACTTTTCTGCACGACTGTTCTTTCTTTTGCAAAATCGAATAATTACTAATTTTTCAGCCTAATTCAAATTAGTAATATTAATTCTTGAAATTCAAGACGGTAGGATGCAGCCAACTTCAATCTGTTTGATATCAATCAGACTGCTTCAAAGCAGTCCATTTTTCAGCATCAAATGATCGACCAACGTGTATGTTGTCAATGACTGATTGAGAAATAATCAAGAAAACAGATATACAAATATGGATAAGTTAAATATGTTCCACTAAGTCGATTATATGTAACGGTAGATACAAAGTAAAACGTTGAATGAATGTTAGATTGTCGAGTAAAGACTAATTCAGATTGCGAGACATTTTCATGATAGAATTTGCAATACTAGCCCAAGCAATCAGTGTGCGAGTTAAAGCTATTTTAAACAAAGTTGATAGTTGAGAAATAGTTATTACTTTGATTTAATTCGTATGTTTAATAGAATGATGAAATAATACATAGCACAATGGTTTTTACTTCAGAAAATGAACATTCATCAATTCTTCCTTGAATAGTTTTTATGTATTAATACGTCGAGCGTAAATGCATGTGTAAGGCAATGTATTTTTCTTTGAGTATGACCAATGATCATCTTTAAATTATGACTACTCGAAAACAAAATTGAAATACTGAAACTACTTTAATTCTATTTTTTGATTCTCTAAGATGGCAATTATCTTCAATATATTATAAAGAAATTCGGGTAATACGCTTTATCAGTATAATTGGGTAGATTTTATTTCAACATGAAACCTGTGCATCAGATTATTCTCGGTTCTCTCTGCTAGATCCATTGTAACTTATATCAGCATATATATTATTCTGCTTTTTTTTCACAGTTTCT